TGGGCTGCAGAATGGATGTTGTCTTAGCAGTCCTGAAAACAACATTCATCTGCTTGTACACGTCCAATCAGAGCTCTTGGGTGACTAGGTGCATTGTCCATGTGCAGTAATATTTTGAAAGAAATCTTTTTATTCTGAGCAGATCTCAACAGCGGACTTAAAATATTCAGTAGACCATGCTGTAAACAGATGTGCTGTCATCCAGGCTTTGCTGTTCCCTTTATAGAGCACAGGCAGGGTAGATTTAGCATAATTCTTAAGGGCCCTATGATTTTTGGAATGGTAAATGAGCATTGGCTTAAACTTAGTGTCGCCAGCTACATTACCCCCTCAACAGCCTGTCCGTTGAAGCTTTGAAGTCAGGCATTGACTTCTCTCTAGCTATGAAAGTCCTAGATGGCATCTTCTTCCATTGGAAGGCTGTTTCATCTACATTGAAAATCTGTGTAGTGTAGCCACCTTCATCAGTTACCTTGGCTAGGTATTACAGATAACTTGCTGGAACATCTACATCAGCACTGTTTCACCTTGCGCTTTTACATTAATGGAGACAGCTTCTTTCCTTAAGCCTCATGAACCAAACTCTTCCAACTTTTCTTCTGCAGCTTCCTCAACCTCTCACAGCCTTCAGCAGAATTGAAGAGTATGGGCCTTGCTCTACATTAGGCTTTGGCTTAAGGGAATGTTGTGGTTGGTTTGATCTTCTATCCAGACCACTAAAATTTTCTCCATATCAGTAATAAGGCTATTTTGCTCTTTTTTTATCATTCATGTGTTCACTGGAGTAGCACTTATAATTTCCTTCGAGAACTTTTCCTTTGCATCCACAACTTGGCTGTTTGGCACAAGAGGCCTACCTTTCAGCCTGTCTCAGCTTTTGACAGGCCTTCCTCACTAAGCTATTTCTAGCTTTTGATTTAAAGCAAGACATGTGAAACTCTTCCTTTCACTTGAACACTTAGAGGTCATGGTAGGGTTATTATTAATAATTGGCCTAATTTCAATATTGTGTCCCAGGGAATAGGGAGGCCCAAGGAGAGGGAGGCTCAAGATGGGAACAGCCAGTCAGTGGAACAGTCAGAACACACACATTTATCAATTAAATTCACCATCTTATATGGGTACAGTTTCTGGTGCTTCAAAACAATTACAATATAACATCAAAGATCACCGATAACAGACTACCGTAACAGATATAAAAATGAGAAAGTTTGAAATATTGGGAAGATTACCAAAATGTGACATAAAGACATGAAATGAGCGTACCCTGTTGGAAAAATGGCACTGACAGACTTGCTCCATGCAAGATTGCCACCAACCTTCAATTTGTAAAAATCACAAAATCTGCAAAGCACAATAAAATGAAGTATGTCTGTACATGACTCAACAATGACTGATCAGTATTCACCCTAAAAAATGGAATTTACCTTGAGAACATTCATTTGGAAGTACAAAAGCAGATCTAGTCTACAGCCTCAGAGGGATGGATGTGGTGGCTCACGCCTGTAATCCCAGCACTTTAAGAGGCTAAGGTGGGAGGATGGTTGGAAGCCAGGAGTTCAAGACCAGCCTGGGCAACATAGTGAGACCTCTATCTCTACAAAAGAAAAAAAAAGAAAAAGAAAAATTAGCCAGGCATGGTGGCATGCGCCAATAGTCCCAGCTACTCAGCAGGCTGAGGCAAGAGCATCACTCAAGCCCAGGAATTTGAGATTGCAGTGAGCTATGAAGTCGCTGTACTCCAGCCCAGGAACCAGAGCAAGACCATGTCTCAAAAAAGTAAAAAAATAAAGCCTAGAGTCATCAGCCCCTTACTCAAGTCTTGATACAGAATCCAGAAAAAAAAAAAAATGACTTCTACCTCTCAGCCAAACTTTACCACCTTTGGCCTCTGTGTCATTACAAACTCAAGATAGTAACATTCCTCACCTCACGAACACTGGGAAATTTTTAAAACAAATTCACTTTCCTTCCCCACTGCCCCCCTTCCCCCAAAAGCCTTAGAGCTTATTACATATGAACATCAAATTATTTCCTGACATGTAACATTTAGTACAACGAGACACTGAAAATGTCCAGTTCAAACTATAGCAGGAAGATGTTTATACTACGTAGGACAACCTATCTGTTCTCAGATTATCACATGAACTGAAGTCTGTAAGGCAGGCAGCATAGCACAGGGGTAAAGTGGCTCAAGTCAGACTGCCAGAGTTTCAAGCTCCCACTACTTGAACTTTTGCAAGTAAACCCGACTGCATCTCAATTTTTCAACCTGTAAAATGGAGATGATAATGCCTCCCTTCCTCATAGGAATCTTATTAAATAATGGTGTAAAGTGCTTTAACAGTGCTCAACAAATGTTTGGTGCAATTATTGTTGTACCTTAACATTCAACTCTAGGTTCTCACAGTTGATTTCTTATTTATCGATGGAACTTATATTGCATTAGATCAGGGAGGCAGGGGTACACAAACTTTTTCTGTAAAGGGTCAGACAATAATATTTTCAGCCTTGCTGGCCATATGGTACTACTCTGTTGCAACTATTCAACTCTGCCATTGTAGCACAGAAGCAGTCAGAGATAAAATGTAAACAAATAAGAATGGTAGCTGTGTTACAATAAAACTTTATTTACAGAAATTGAGATTTAATTTCACGTAAGTTTCGCATTACAAAATAGTCTTCTTTTGATTTTTTTCAACCATTTAAAAATGTAAAAACCATACTCAGTTGGGATGCCACACAAAAACAGGCAGCAGGCCAGATTTGGCCCATAGGTGGCAGTTTGCTGACTCCTGCTCTAGATTAACAAATTTATGGGCTTTGGAAGCTTTGTGGAGGGGCAGGGAGATTTGAAATACAGGATGGTGGTATAGAAGAGGAAACTTCTAAGTATAATAGAAAAAAAAGAGATTCAATGCTGTAATTCATTTATTAATATTGAATTCAACTATGTGCAAAACATCTTATTACGCATTGTTGGAATCAAAGATGTAGAAGTCACAGTCCCTGCTCAAGGAACTTATACTGCTCCACAGTAGACAGAAACAAAAAGCCGTCCTTCGAACTATAACAAACCCCTCAGACTTTTAAAAAGCACACGTGTGTGCTCATCAGTGAGGCTGGCAATTTCTTTGGTGCCTCCACCTACAGCCCAGGCCAAATGTGATTATCTCAAGCACTCACATTTCTCCCCTCCCCAAGAATTTTACTAACAGTTCCTTCCCTCCCTTTCAAATTATTCTGTTTTGAATGATCATTTTGGGGGTAATATTCCGGATGATGTACTAAAGGTCAACGGGTTCCATCTTTCAAAAAATTACCATTTAAACTAGTCTTCAGAGATACCATCTCCTTTGTTAGTGACTCCTGTGGTTTTTCATTTCAATTCAGGCAGAAACTTGTCCCTAGGAGGCAGGATAAACAGGTCTATCTTAAGAAAAAAAAAGATACATCAGAAAAATATTTTTTCAGAGCAAATATTAAGTATTTTACCCAAAAGAACACAAAGCAGAAGTAAAAGGTGGACAAAACAGGGCTCTGGTATATACTTCAGTTGGTTCTAAAGACTGGATTTGAAATAATTCAACAGAAACCCACTATGTCAGTATGTCAGAGCAAGTGAAGCATGAAATGGAAATTAACACAGCCGATGCTTAAGAAGGTTATTTGTAAATAATAAACTATTAACAGCACTATAATATTAATATTACTAAAAATAAAAATTAACAGGAATAAAATACTACTAATATTGTCTTGATTGGGATACTAAAATGGCACACATCTCTTAAGCATTTTCCTTGCAAGAACTGTGTGTGCTATTTACCTTTTAAAGACAATAGAACACAATGAAAATTAAAGAGCAGAAAGCAGCAGCACTCCTGATAGTTAAGGTAACCTCATCAGAACAGGCCTGATTTATTTCAGCAAAATCCCAAATCAAATTGGAGAGGAATACAGAGACTCAACAGACTGATTAAAAATGAATTAAGACAGTAAAATATTTGGTTGAGCCAAAAGGATACTGAGAGCTTATAATGTTGAAGGTCTTAAAAAGAAATACATGAGCTTGTCAGTACTTGGGCAAAAAGAAAAATAAGCAAAGAAATTAGAAGATTGACTTTTACAAAGCAAACAGAAGAGAAGGGCAATGTAGTAATTCCTTGCCATCCTCAGATTTCCAATTGCAGTTTCAGCTATTCATGAGCAACTCTGGAAGGAGGTAAGAGGCAATTACAGTTTTGCTATAGCATGAATCTGAATACCACAGTAGGGTGGCTATATGAAAAAATCACCTAAGAAGTGTGCCTAGTAGACATCCTGCCATCCACACCTCAATAGCGATTTGCTATTTTCTACTCTTTTGCCCTTGAACAGTAAAGATTTGTAGAAAATCCTTAAAAACTTTCAGTAATACTCTACAGTTTACTGTATAGCGCTACCTGGGATTCACAAGCATCTGAGCACACATCTCTCTCACCCCAAGAGTTTACCGAATAAGCCTAAAACAACTAGATTTCCTTGTCTTACTGTAACCCATAGTTTACCTAAGGATATCACATACTTTGTGCCTTCTGTTAGCTACACATTATTCTTTTTGTTGCTGATTATATGACTATTCCTCAAAGGCAGAAATTTATTGTCTCAAGTAAGAAACCTACAGCCCTGTGTAGAGAATTCTCATGCCAAGAAAAATGCCTACTTTTTTACTCTTTTTTACTCTTCTCCAATCAGGTATGGAAAACCTTTAGGAAATTAATTTGATTATAATATACAAATCAGTAAAGTACATCACAATTATTATTAAAAGGTAAAAGAAAAGAAGCAATGTTAATGAAATTGTTCCATGAAAGCTACAGAGGGAAATTCAATTCTGAAAATACATATTAGCCTCTACTTAAGAGTTTCATGGTATCAACTCCAAAAGCACATTTTTTGTTTTTAGAATTAGTTAAGAAATAACTATTCAGCATTTAGTAGTGGTCACTTACTATGTAAAATCAGACAAGCAAGTATTGACTAACTACACTGGTGGCCAATGGAGTTTTTAAATAACAAAAACATAAGACATGGTAAAAAGTATTACTTGACTTTATTAACCTCACTTATAATACTGAATACAAATGTAGAATTAGGTGGCGACCCTTAATTTTGTCTATTTCAAAGCATGGTCTCTTAGATTTAAGAATTAAGGCAGATACATGTCACATGAGGGAGGGGAACCAAACAACCAAATCCAAAAATCCCCACTGATTTATTTATATTTTATAAAGTTTGAGCTACAGCCCTTAGGATATTCCTTTAAATAGTATTTCCTTCTGACTTTTCATGAATCTCATCAGTAACTGAATTTTTAACCAGACCCTATAATCCATCACAAGTCTTCTGAGTCTAAAAGAAACATACATATACCAAGTACTTATGAAATTCACCACATGTAGCCGAACTTCGCATATGACTTCAAAAATCAAAATGACAATGATACTTCTAAAATCCAAAGGTTAGGTAAGGCCTACCTTCCTATCTTTTCTGCATTTTTAAGAAATGATTTAATGATGTTAATATAGAAATATATTCTATATTTTAACATCAATAAGATATGAAATTCAAGGGAAGAACCAATAAGATTTTGCATTTTAAAATCAAAAGGAACATGCCTTAGACACCTCAAATTATCAAATTCAGTTCTAAGCAGGAACTGTTACTGTGTAACACATACTGCTCATATCAAAAGTGCTGGTGACAAAGAATTCAATATGCCCTGCCACACAATCTGCTCACATACATATATACCTATATCTATCAATTACTGTAATAAGATCTTACATGTTTAAGGTGCTTAAAGTTTGCACTGCAGGACTAATTCAATTCTGCTCCCTCTTTGTAGCAACTGCAAGTAGAATGATCCAAACAAAAATGCTGCTACTTTCTAAAATGTGGCATTTGTGGAGGCGGAGTGCCCTCTACTGGTAAAGAGGAGGACACACTCATTAGCTGTCCTGCATGCATTTTCTCATTGACCCGGAGTTCACATCCATCTTGAAGCATTCGAACTGCTATTCGGGCGATGTTCTTAGAGTCATCAAGACCACTGTGAGGCCGCCCATCATAATCCATTCCTAATTTTTCAAGCATTATTGTCAGTTTGGTTTGGCTTCTAGGAACCTGAAAAATAAACAACTTAGTAAATAACTCTTTAGTATTCTAAACTGCAATATAAGCCACAGTTAAGTTGAAAAATAAACTGAAAATTAATAGTGACAGCTAAAGTTAGGCAAAGGAGGCAAATAAATAATTCAAATTTTCATAGCTTCAAAAAAATGACCTTAGAGTTTTAGCTGAAAATATAGATAAAATCCTCAGACATCTAAAACCTTCACAGTTTTGTAATTTAACAAATCATTTATTAAAGGGAATGTATTGTTCTGGGCATCTAAGTCAAAGACCTACCTTTTTAAACCAAACTAATTATTTTGCATATTTTTCTATAAAGTATTACTTTACTTGACTGATTCCTTAGACAGATACAAAGAATATTTAGCCTTTTTAGATGACTAAAGATAATGAAGATCAAGAATGAAAGACGATGTGTGGTTTTCAACCTATTTACAAACTTGCTCCTTGATAAACACAAACATTTCACACACTCCCCAAATTCCAATATGCTTCTTCACTTTTGAGAACCACTGTTGTATTTTCTGTGTGTCCCTATGAAGATTTGGTACATTTTACTTTCTGTAGTTGGTATAGCTATGTCATCTATGCATCTTGGAACCTCAGCAGCTTCATCTGTAAAATGGGATTAACAGCTGCACTATTTACTCACAGGGTAATGGGTACAATCACAAAGCAAATGATCTGACAGCACCATGATAAACATCAATAATTATCTTAAGCTGTAATACTGCAATGTACTCTGGCTTCCATTAAATATCACTTAGAAAATGTGCTTCTAAAAATAATTTTTCCAACACATCGGATAATTTAGGTGGTAGGGACAAATTCTTGGAAACACACAACCTACCAAGACTGAATCAGTAATCGAAAACCTCCTGACAAAGAAAAGCCTTGGACCAGATGGCTTCACTGCTGAATTCTACCAAACATTTAAAGAATTAGCACCATTCTCAAACTACTCCAAAAAACAGAAGAGGAGAGAACACGTCCTAAATCGTTTGTAAGGTCAGTATCACTTTGATACCAAAGCCAAACAAAGACATTATAAGAAAAGAGAATTAAGATCAATATCTTAATTCTTATCAATATCTTATGAATACCATGATGCAGTAATATTCAACAAAATACAAACTGAATTCAGCAGCATATTAAAAGAGTTAAACACCATGACCAAGTAGGATTTATTCCTAGAATGCAAAGGTGGTTCGACATATGAAAACGAATATACCACATTGACAAAGTGAAGGAGAAAAAAAAAAAGCACATAACCATCTCAACTGATGTAGAAAAAGCATTTGACAAAATTCAACACCATTTCATGACAAAAACAGCCAACAAGCTAATAGAAGGAAATTATGTCAACATAATAAAGGCCATATATGAAAAACCCATAGCTAAGATCATATGCAAGGGTAAAAGACTGAAAGCTTTTTTTCTAAGATCAGGAACAAGACAAGGTACCCACATTTACCACCTCTATTCAATATACTATTAGAAATTCTAGCCAAAACAATTAGGCAAGAAAAAGAACTAAAAGGCATCTAAAAAGGAAGAAGTAAAATGACCTCTGTTTGCAGGTGACATAATCTTATACATAGAAAATCCTAAAGATTCCAAAAAAAAAGTTGTTAGAACAAATAAATGCAGCAAAGTTGCAGGATACAAATCCACACACAAAAATCAATTGTGTTTACATACACTAATAATGAATAATCCAAAAGGGAAATTAAGAAAACAATTCCATTTATAATAGCATCAAAAAGAATAAAATACTTAGGAATAAACTTAACCATCAAGGTGAAAGACTTTGTATGCTAAAACTACAAATGTTGATGAAAAAAATTTTAAAAGGCACCAGTAAATGGAAAGGCATCCCATGCTCATAGATTAGACGACTTAATATTAAGATATTAATACTATCTAAAGCAATCCACAGATTCAGTACAATGCATAGGAAAATCCCAGCAATGTTTTTTACGGAAGCAGAAAGTTCCAATCTAAAATTCATATGGAATTTCAAGGGGCTGCAAATAGCCAAAACAACCTTGAAAAACAACAAAGTAGGAGGTCTCACACATTCTGCTTTCAAACTTAGTACCAAGCTACAGTTATCAAAACAGTGTGTTTCTGGTATAAAGACAGACATATAGACTAATGGAACAGAATAGAGCCCAGAAATAAACATTTACCTATTTAGTCAAATGATTTCTGACAAGGATGCCAAGACCACTCAATGTGAAAAGGACAATCTTTTCAACAAATGGTGTTGGGAAAACTGGATATCCACAAGCATGAATCATGGATATTCATAAGAATGAAGTCAGGCCCTTATCTTACACCACATACCCAAATTAACTCAAAATGAATGAAAGACCTAAACATAAGACCTAAAATTACAAAACTCTTAGAAGAAAACATAGGGGAGAAACTTCATGACACTGAATTTGACAATGATTTCTTGGACCTGCCACCAAAACACAGGCAACAAAAGAAAAAATAAATTGGACTTCATAAAAATTAAAAACTTTGGTACATCAAAGTACATTATCAATAGAGTGAAATGGCAACCCACAGAATGGAAGAAAATATTTACAAGTCATACATCTCATATGGGATTAATATCCAGAATAAGGAACTCCTACAACTCAAAACAATAAAAAAAAAATTAAAAAATGGGCAAAGAATTTGAATAGACATTTCTCCAAAGATGATATACAAATGGCCAATAAGCACATGGAAAGATGCTCAACCTCACTAATCACTAGGGAAATGTAAATCAAAACCAGAATGAGATACCACTTCACACCCATTAGAATGGCTATTAAACAAAAAAGACAAGACAGTAAATAACAGGCATTGGCAGCAATGTGGAGAAATTGGAGCGCTTGCACGTTGCTGGTAGGAACATAAAGTGGTACAGCCACTGTGGAAAACAATATGGAGATTCCTCAAAATAATTAAACATGGAATTACCATATGATACAGCAATTCCAACTCCGGGTACATACCAAAGAACTGTATTTATACACCCATGATCATGACAGCATTATTCATGACAGCCAAAAGGTAGAATCAACCTAAAAGTGTCCATCAAAGGATGAATGGATTTTTAAAAACATGGTACAGGATGAGTATTCCTTATCCAAAATGCCTGGGACCAGAAGTGTTTCAGATTTCAAATATTTTTGATTTTGGAATATTTGCATTATACCAGTTCAGCATTCCTAATCTAAAAACCCAAAATCCAAATGCTCCAATGAGCATTTCCTTTGGAAACTTTTTGAGCGTTAACACAATGCCACAAGTGGCAAGTGGAGAATCCCACATCTGACCTCATGTGATGGGTCACATTCAAAACACAGGTGCACAACACACAGTTTATGCATAAGTAAGTGTAAGAAAACGCCTGCTTACTGGTAGCACATAAATTCAGAGTCAGGAACAATGGTGATGTCAAATAACCACAGATTGTCCACTTCATATGGACCTTTGCTTTCTGATAGCTCAATGTACACAAACTTTGTTTCATGCACAAAATAATATATAAAATTACCTTCAGACTATGTGTACAAAGTACATACGAAACATAAATGAATTTTGTGTTTAGACTTTGGTCCCATCTCCAAGATATCCCATTATGTATACACAAATATTCTAAAATCTGATACCCAAAACACTTCTGGTCCCAAGCATTTCAGATAGGGGATATTCAACCTATATTTGAACAAGTCCTTATAAGATCCTGAAAAAAAATGCTTGACTTCAAGTGAAAAGATTCTCAGATTTCAAAGGAAACTAAGTCTGTCTTTGGAGATACCATGTTGCAACAGGAAACTTTAAAATGTTCCTATATTGCTTGGTCTTGATAGTGAGGAAAGCTATTAGAAAGTCTCAAGTCTTATTGAAAGCAATCTGGAAAAACTAGAGAAGAAAATTAAATATTTTCCCTTCCTTTCAACACCAGAGTATGACCAGGTGAAGGACCCTTTCTCTGAATCTTCTGCTCAGTCTCAGAATTAGAATTTAAGAAAAGAACTTTGTAGGTACAATTTGATTGTACACCAGAGATGAGAATTAATGCTCTGTTCCCCGAAAATTGTGGATTTCTACACACAAAAAATCTCCTGTCATTCATTCACTGGAAAGCGCTAACATTTCACTGCAGTTTTCAACTTTCTCCATGTGTAAGCAAACTTTTTCTTGTTTAACAAGCATAAAGAGCAAGGACAGAAATTATCTAATTTCCATGGAAAATAGAATCCACATGAGCTTACATTAAATTTAACCCAGAATTGAGTGTTTATACAGGAAAAAATAAAAAACCAAAATAACAAAAACAAACACAGATTGCACAGTAAAGAGGTATATTTCATTCTTTACTTTTACTTCAAAAACAGCATTTAAATGAATATATATGCCTATAAGAGAAACAAACACACATTTTATAATTTTGTTAAATGCTAAGCCCACACTTGAGCCTGATATGCCACACAGAAAGAACAGTTTGGGTTTTTCCCCTCAAGCACATATAAAATTATCTTAGAGGCTATATTTTTTTCATATTGTTTTACCCTTCTTTTACAAAACTCAAATCCCATTTTAGTTTAAGCCAGTTATTTCACAGAAATCTATGACATTTGCCTGATAAATTTATAAAAAGGGAAGAAAGAGATTAATCTCAAGTTTAATTATCCATCTCTACCTTCTCCCCCCAAGAAAGGTAAGATAAAGTCATTTTTAGTTTTAAAAAAACATTCTTGCACATACCACATACCATAGACTATATCTTATTAGCATCATATATAGTAGAGATTTGTGATAAAGATTTTTTAGATGTATTTGGATAAGGCAAACAAAACAAAAAAGAAAATTTTTTAAAAAGGAAAATACAAGTTTCTTCTACTTACACTAGTAATTGACATTACAGTTATCTATTATGAAGAGGGGAAAACCACACACAAAAAAGAGTAGGTTAACAAATGGGCCAAAATAAACAGATCCACAAAAAAAGTCACCGTCTACTCAAAAGAGCACTGGGAATTTTATTGCCTTATTATATCTACAACTTTTTGACTATACTAATGTACTGTGAGCTGCAGATATTTTTATGCAGACCTGAAAAGTAATTAATGATAAATTTTAAAATAAATAAATTATTCCCCTAAGTCATAGGTTTGAGAAAGACTGCTTTAATATAAGAATGTATTATCACCTGGGAGTTATAGCAAAAAAAAAGAACCTAAAGGGGATCAAGCCCCTCAACTTGAGTATAAACTTACAGGCAATACAGAGGACAGGGGCATGTTCAAAACATGTTGCGGGATACAATTAGCAAAATCCAAACTAGGAGAAACACTACAGGACAAATGGCTCAGTTTCTTAAAGAAATAAAATAAATTGTTAGGAAGGAAAAAAGGGGGATGGAAAGAGAACTTAAAGATTTAAAAATTTGAAACACATCAACCAAAGGCAAACCTGTGAACCTTATTCTGATCCTGGTTCAACACACAAAAGGTAAAAGGAAACAAAATATTCATGACTATTTGACAACAGTAAGGAATTACTGTTAATTTTTCTGGATGTGATAATGGTTTGGTGGTTGTGTTTTTTTAGGAAAAAACCCTTACCTTTTGGAGATACATAATGAAGTATTTACAGATCAGATAAAATGATTTCTGCCTCAAAACAATAAGGAAAAAGAAAGTGGGTGGGGATACAGAGGAAATAAGGTTGGCCATGAACTTATAACTGTTGAAACTGGGTCATGAGCGTTCGTTATACCTGTCTATTCCTGTATGTTTGAAATTTTCCATAACAAAAGGTTTTTTATTAAAAAAAAATCACAAAATAAGTGAAAAGAAAATCCACAAAAAAATTTATCAAATATAATCAAAGGACTAGTATCCAAAATGAAGATCTACAAACCAATAACAAAAGGACAGACTGCACAATTTAAAAAAATGGGCAGAAGTTTAAACAGGGACTTCACAGAACCAGAAATCCAGATAGTTAATAAACATACAGAAAAGAATTCAACCTTATGCATAATCAGGCAAATGCAAGTTAGAACCTCAATAAGATGACATCGCACATCCACCAGATTTACAAACATTTAAAATGTCTTGTAACATCAGATGCTGGCAAAGACTTGGAGCAACTATAAACTCACACACTGCTGATTAGAGCACAAATTGGTATAACCCCTTTGGAAAACTATCTTTGCATTATCTAGTAATATCAATAATGCACAGATCCTATGATCCAGCAATTCGACTCCTAGGTTTATACCCTAGAGAAATTAGTGCAAAAAGGCACCAGGAAATATGTACAAGAATGTCTAGAACAGCACTGTTGATAAAAGCCCAAACAAACTGCCCAGCCAAAGTAGAACAGATAAACAAATTGGTATGTTCACACAGTGGAGTTCTATCTAGCAATAAAGTGAATGAACTGCAGTGACACACGCAACGTGGATAGATCTCAAGCATAACGTTTGGGAAAAAAAGCAAAATAAATAATACAGCCAATGTTATGCTAATTCTATCATGCTCAAAAACACAAACTACATGTATAAGGACATACATATAAATATTAAATCTGTAAGAAAAAAGAAAATGATTAATTACAGTTCGCTTTGGGAGGAAGGGAGTTAAGTGGGTGGAAGTCACAAAGGTATTCACTTTAAAACAATCTATTAAACCCTACTGTTCTGCATGCGTATTTCTCAGTTTTAAGTGTTAAAAAAACAACAGAAAAAGTTTTTAAGGAAAAGCACCTTTTCTCATGAAACTACTTTAGAAAATGCCTCTCCAAAATGAAATTGTAAAGGGAGAAAGAAGACACAAGGTCTAACACATGATAGAGAAGGGAAATCCCCTAAGATGATTATAGAAGCCTGAAGAACAAACAGTTCAGATCAGAACAGAATTAAAGGCTCCAGGAAGGTAGTCTCCAAAGGAAAAAAAAGAAAATCTGGCAGATTACCTGAGTGTTTTCAGTCTTGAGAAGTCTTACAGTTTGCATGGAGAGTAATGGGATAAGTAAACAACTAAAGCAGTAAATTATTACATCTGGGGAAAAGTTGTGAATATTTTCCATAGTCATAGGGCTATAAACACTGAATAATCATTTGACTGTAAAAGTAATATAACCATATTAGCAAGATGCAGGGAAGAGGACACACAGCAGTGGTGGCTTAAGAGAGCAAAATCTTCATCTTTCACTGCACGAATTCAATAGAAGTCTCAAACTAAAAATTGAAGACATAGCATAAACATACAATTTAGAAATATATGGTAAACATTTGGAAAAAAAGCTTTAAAAAAGTTCAAAGTGTTTGCCTCAGGAGAAGAGGAACCAGTTCTGGTGAGGGCTATGGCAAAAGATTGCCACTGGTTACAAGCCTTGTAGTATCTTTTTAAAAAATGTATACTACACACATGATTAACTTTGATAAAAGTAAAATAAAACTAGTGGGGAGCATTGTTCCACAAAATACCCATACTGAACACCCCTAGTTTCAAGCCTCTGTCATGTATATACAGTTAAACTACTTACATAAATGTAACAGGCTGAATGAGGAAAAAAGGCTTATCTTTCTAACTTGAACATCTAATTTGAAATTTAAAAATTAAATAATACACGGCCTTTTTCTGTGAAAAACACCTAGAAAATCACAACTTAATATACATGCAAAATATAATAAATTTATCATTAACAACAGTATAATCACTAAATACAGAAAGTTTACCTTGTAAAAGTTTCCATATGACTTTCGAATATTGATCCACTTTTTAGCAAAAGAAGGATATTTGAGCCTGCTGAGTTGGCACTGAATGCTCAAAAACTTACTCATATCCCACGAACTAGAATTCAAAAACAGGGAAAAAATGGATAAAATAAATGCTATACTATTCTTACAAATAAGTATTTTAAGTCATTCTATTTTTTTATTTACACATGTCAACTTGTTCTCATATTCACATATAACATCAAGCTGAGAACATGAACCTCACTTCCTACAAAATACTAATTACTAATTCAAAAATAAGCTTTAAAAAGCAAAAAAAAAAAAAAAGGTCCAAATATAGTAAATGGTTTTCACAACCTAATTCTTATTAGGCTCATCTTGATTGTTTTTATAAAGGTTCTGATTACCTGAGCAGACTTCTATCTTGCTGAGTACTTTTCATAATTCTAAAATAACTCTGCTAGCTTACTCTTAATGCCAGATTTATCATATTAGTAAGTTCTTTGAGGGTATGCTTTGAAATAAAAAACAACCAAAAAAAACTTGATTGGGAATGACTCTATGTAGATTAAAAAAACACTTGAAAGAGACAAAAGTACCTGGTATCAAGTGGTTAAAATATAATCTACTCTGCTACAGCCAATCTATTTATTGTAGCTAAGGACAATATTGACTGCGTAATGTGGAAATTGTGTTGGTTCATATACGGTTTTTTTTTAGCAAGGGGAGTTTGAATAATAGCAGTAGAAATTATAACCTTCAGCAGGAAATAAAAAAGCCCTCAACTCAGCTGCTATACTGGCAACAGAATGTAATACTTTCCTATATTTTCTTATAATGCTTTCCACTATTACAAGCAAATTAACACATTTACTGCCATGTGAGTTATATTTAACCCAGGCTAGTTTTGAGCCCAGGGCCTTGTGAAGCAAAACCCTGCAGTTGGTTCGTGAAAATCTTACTTGTTGATGTTTATTGTTACAATGAATATTGACAATTTAATTCTAAAAATGGGAATTGTGTTGCATATAACTCACACACAGAAAATAAAAAATAACAAATCAGAAAGCACCATTTTGTTTTAATAAAACACTGTGGCCCCGGGAAAAAAATGGTTTTTTTCCTAGTGTAGCAGTCAATGTGTTAAAAACGAGTGCCAGGATTCTATTGCTTCTGTGCATTTTTAATATCCTCTGAGGCAACCTCCACCTTCCCTGAGCTGTTTGCCTGGGCTGTTCAAATTATTTCTGAAGGTATCAATTATTGTTTTTGTTAGTGCTCTGGTTATAAAATGGCACAAGTTTTGAATCATCTGTCCCAGAAAGTGAGGTTTTTTACAGAATTGTATATACCATACAGTGACAGAAACACCAGTATACTTTAGCAGGAACATTGCTCATTCATATTTAAAATCAAAAATAGATTTGTAAAGAGGGCCATCAGTATTTTTCTATCATATGTGAGGATCTCTCTAAACCCTCCATGCTGGCAACATCTCAGCTATAGGGTACAATCTGTCCACAGTTTGAAACAGAAGTTGTTTGGGACTTTCTTCCTCAACCTTAAGGCATTATGGTACAGCAGTTGCCCTGCCATAATGTCTGTAATCCTTATTTTAATTTTTCTGGTCTTCCCATTCAGCTTTTCATTTAAGAAATGCTTTTTGAGCATACATTTTGAGGTCAGCACTGCAAGTAAGTACTATGGAAGAATAGGTAGCAAAAGTCCTTACTCTGAAAGGATTTTTAATTTCCTTGCAAAAATAAGGGTTATGTATATAAAGATTACATCAGAATATGTTCGGATGTCAACATAAATGGTATATAGGCTGTAAGACTTCAAGGAAAAAAAGATCAATGTGAGTTGGAGTGTCAGGGTAAAACACAAGGTAGGCTTAGGATAATGGTAAGAAAGTAGTCAAGGAAGGGACTCTCTCAGTAGAGAGGGAAGCAGGAATAAGTACACAAAGAAGAGATAAAGTATGTGAACTCATGGGCCAGGCTGACTAGAGTAAAGAGGAATAATGGCAAGAAGGTAGGTTAAACAGGTAGGGGGATGAGATGAGAGAGCCCGCAATGCCAAGCTGAAGTGTTTGGATGCTTTTGAGCAAAGAAGTGTCATGATAAAAACAGGGTTTTAGGCAAGTCATTTTAGTTTTACACATTCATAATTATCTTTCTCTAGTCCTCTAGTCCTGGATTAGTCTGTTAGCATTGCTTTCCTTCCTCTCTTTCATCCCTAGGATTCAAATTTTATGCAGGAATAGAAAATGTGAAAGGGTTGGTCCGAGTGCAGTGGTGTTTACAACTAATTGATAACAACCAGTTATAGATTCCTTTGTTCCTTCTCCACTCCCACTGCTTCACTTGACAGGACAGGACAGGACAGGACAGAAAAGAAAAGGAAAAAACAAAAAAAGAAAAAGTGAAAGGAAAAATACTGTTCCCTGTGCAGTGACTCTAGGACCTTTAATAAGTAATATGTTGTGGTTATTCTAAAAGCTAAATGAATATGGACATCTTTAATCTTAAAAGGTATGTAAATAAGATAATTTTCCTAAATACTTACCCATCTGTTAATATGCAATATTTATACTTTGTTCCTAATTCCTTCAATTTCATCCAATCAATTACTTTTTTTAGTACCTGAGGGAAGGTATCAGCTCTGTCTACCTGATCCTGAGGATATAAAAGTAAAATATATAAAAATCAGGGTTGTAGCTCCATGTAATCCTACAAAATAACCAGACACAAACTGCAGGAAAAGAGTATGAGAAAGGCTTATTTCTGATGTTTTAAACTCTTCATGATTTCCTTGGCTTAGATCCACCTAGTTTCATTTTTTTAAGACAATTAAAAATTATTTATAGCCAAGTATTAGGGACTGCTTTCAATTAAAGTATATAATCCTCCCAAAATTAAGATTTAAGATCATCCCCAGCAGTTGTCTTTTTACAGGCCTCACTTTGTGGTTTACTGATTCACAAGAGTGGAGAAAAGGGAAATTTCTTCTAAGCTGAAAGCCACAGCCCCCTAAGTGGTTTTCCAATCTCAAGTCTCCCACCCCCACCATACCACACAGCATACTGCACACTGCTGCTAGACTGACCTTCCTGAAATGTAAATCTCATCCATCACAGTGTCTTCATACTTAAAGTCCTCCGATCACTCTCCAAGGCTTTCAGAATAAAGACCCACAAGACCTTTCATAGTCTGGCTTGCCTCTGCCTCTCTCAACCATTTTCTTACTAGCCCATACACATCTGAACCATCCTGAACTACTTGTAGTTCTGCTGTTTCACTCCTGTTTCTTCCTTGCCTACTTACCTATCATGACTCAAACCAAGTTCACCAACTTGAGGAAGCTTTTCCCAGGACAACCCTCCATTCCCTCTGTCCATATGGAGGCCCTTTTCCGGATGCTCACAATACCCTGATAAAATGCTCGCCTGTCAGCCTTCCCACCCGTACTGTGACCACTGGTACAGTCCATCTGTCCTCCTGACTTTCAGATTGTAAGTGAGCTGAGGACAGAGACTGACTGGACAGTCTTTGCATCCCTAGTACCTTGGCATACATATTACAGTAGGCACTCGAATGTGTGTGCAGTGAATGAATAAAGGAACCAAATATATGAACAAAGGGCCTACCACATTAGAATACAACCAAAAATCAGAGACTTAAAAAAAACAAGCTATATATAAAGTCAGTATGTAAATAGATACATTCTAAAACTTATCTCCAAGTTTGGTATGGTAACACTTATTTTGCTAATGCTTCATTTTACAAATGAAATCTTTAGATTCATCATTACAACTCCTCAAAAGGCTGAGAAAAACGTTACCAGGTGTAAAATATGCTTTTATATTTTTTAATATTATAATATGAAAGATCTTTATCAAGCAAGGAAAGTATTACATTAATTTAAATTGCCCATAACAATATTTTTTAAACTATAAAATAAATCCCTAATTTCAAAATTCTTTCAAACTCTAGGGGAAAAAAAACATAAATTATAACCTGAGTAATTCCAGTAAGATTCATGCAGAAATCAGAAAGTTGTGTGTTAATCTCTGGTCTTACATACTGCTGAAACATATCTTCCTACAAGGAAAGAAAAGCAAGTTAAAGTACTTTATATGACCCAAGATACATGATACACAACAACTTGAGTCATACCAGTTTGTAATTTTATAGGTGCTCATGGCACAGACCCTTCTAAAGTTTTTAAGGATAATTCCCTACCCACAAGGCATTCTAATTTTTAAATTAAAAAAATCATGTTTTATAGTTTTAAACATTTTAAGATAAACCAAGTGTCTGAAAGCAAGCCTTGAATCCCAAATTTAAATAAACACTTTCCCGAGGAATAAAATGTTGATTATTTACAATAATTTAAAACTATAAAGCCTATCAATGCAGCTTCTATTTCAAGATACTAAGAGTTTTTTTTTGTTGCTTTTTTTTTTTGAGACAGAGTCTCGCTCTGTTTCCCAGGCTGGAGTGCCGTGGCGTCAGCTTAGCTCACAGCAACCTCAAATTCCTGGGCTTAAGCGATCCTCCTGCCTCAGCCTCCCGAGTAGCTGGGACTACAAGCATGCACCACCATGCCTGGCTAATTTTTTCTATATATTTTTAGTTGTCCAGCTAATTTCTTCCTATTTTTAGTAGAGATGGGGTCTCGCTTTTGCTCAGGCTGGTCTCAAATTCCTGACCTCGAGTAATCCTCCCGCCTTGGCCTCCCAGAGTGCTAGGATTACAGGCATGAGCTACCACGCCTAGCCAAGTGAAGGTTTTTTATGGTGAGAAAAATAACATGTTTGTATGTGATAGAAACAATATATTAATGGTAGTAAGCAATAAATCATAATGTAGTAATATAAATGAAGGAGGAGAATTGCTAGAGCAACGTCCTTGAGTAAGAGAGGAAGTAAAATCTAGTGAGTTAGACAAGATTATTTGCCTTCATAGCTGCCATTTTTCCTTTTAATTTATTGATCTTTAATCTGCTTTGGATGAGGAAATTATAGAGATAGGTTGATTAAGAATATAACTAAAAGCCTCTTTGAATAGTACTAAGAAAAATCTATGCATTTCAATGCAAAAGCCTTTCTATACTTACTCTTAGTGGGTTAGTGGCAACTGGGGATATCACAGAAATGACTTTTGGGTAGATGGTATGTTATGATATATCCTCGCTCAGATTTTATATTATAAGGCAAATGGTTTTATTTCATGGAATTCCTGCTATAATTTCCTGAATAATGCACTGACAACATGTATCTTAAGTATACATACTACATGGCTTAGAAACCAAAGTTATAGGAGTCGTTTCCCCCACAAACTTTCCACCAGAAAGACAGCCAGTTCTAGGTTGAAAAATGATTTCTGTAAATTATCACTCTTAGAGATCAGAGTCCGTATTAGGCTACTGCAGTGGTTCTCAATCCTGACTGCATATTAAAACCAACGGAGAAGCTTTAAAAAAAGTGCTGATGTCAGGGGCTCTAGCACAGAACAACAGAATCTCTGGGACTAGGGCCAGGCTCAGTACTTTTTTTCTTTTTTACTCCCCAGGAGAGCCTGATGTCCATCCAGACGTTCTAAGCAAACAGAAAAAAAATGCCATAATTTCAGCTCCTGGGAAATAAGAGAAACAGTCTCTGAAATTGCTTTATTATAGCTTTTCTGTTAATCAAGCTGATAAAAAGTTCACAGCAAGAGAAAAGGGCCAACTTCAGAATTCTAAGTCCAGCTAAATCAGCAAATGAGACCCTCCATCTTATTACTGAACAGAATAGCTGCTGCTAAAAATAAAATTAAAATGTAACAATCCACTTACTATTTCTAAGGTATGCGTATTCAATAAAACAACAGGAAATTCAATTATTTCATGTATGAAGTCAGGTGGGTTACCCTCTTCACAAGTGGCTTCAAAGTCAATAATACAAATGTAGTCATAACTGTCAGCACAATTGCTCTCTTTCAACATCAGCTTCTGCTTCTTGTAATAGTTTTTCAGTCTCTTCTTTAGTACATCCTTTACTCCTCTAAGTAAAAGAAGAATAAAATTTACTTTTATGTAAATTTTATAGTCAAGAATCAGAACTCTTACCTGCTGGCACTGGGTTGAACACTGACAATCACAGCATAATTCAGCAAATGCTAGCTAAAATAAATGTAAGGAAAGCAAAACTCAAAGCTAAGTTAAGCAAAGAACTAATTAAAATAAAATAATACAACATCAACATTTTCCTTCACAAGTAACTTCACATTTTAGTAGTACATAACAGCATTTTCTCCCATATATACTGGTATTTCAAACCATAAACCTTGTCAGCATGTATCACCAACACAGCCATATTGCCTTATATACTCAGATGACATACATGATACAAATACTTCAATGAAATATTTCAATAAAATTAACATTGAATTATTCTACTGGCTAAAATATAAATTTCAGGATAGAAAATTCAGGTAAATTGAATATGTTACCGCTTTCCTTTTTCTTTGGCTTTTGTAGGTTAAACAACTCAAAAAATCCATACAAATATGAAAGCATTATGGCCTAGCATATAAAGTTGAATGTCTGTTAGCTAGTTAACTAAAAAAATTAATTTTAGAAACTACTCTAGAGTCAATTGTGTCTACAGGAACATAATCATACTCAGTAGGTTCTTAATAGGAATTAGGTTTCTTAGTTTATCATGAGTAGAATAGGATTTAAGGAATTTCAATATTACACACAGCTTTAAAATACACATTCCACAAATGGAGTAGGGGGGAGGACGGAGGGGTCCTTCTACATAGGTAACAGTGGTTGGTAACAGTGATCCCATTCTTCAAACAGTATGTATAATATTTCTTCAAAAAATCAGAGTTACAACCAGTGTTCAGGCTTCCTTCTGTGTTACTTGGTTGAATCCTATATTGGCCACAAGTACAAAATGCTAGTAAAAGAAAGAGGATCCAAAGTGTAACTAATGTGTAATTCCAAGGAAGGCATTTTGGTCCTATCATTAATAAGTGACTATTAAAAAATTTTTTTAAATCTTTTCTTTTACTTTCTAAACTACCAGTTAAGAACCAAAAAGGAATCCTACCCATGAAAACATTGGTAATCAACCAGTTAGCTGTTATGAGACAAAATGTCTTAATGTGCTTATTTGAGATTTTCCAAATTACCAAACCCTGGGTGGGGGGGGGACCCTTAAGCCCTTTCATATTAAGGTACTGAGTGACCTCTGTGTCATGTGACAGCTCTGGATTACTTTGTCTTAATTTCTTTTCCTTCTTTCTTTTTTGAGAAACTATATTTACTAAAGCATTGCCTGCAAACCCAATGGCAGCACAAACATAACTAGTTCTGGATAGAAACCTGTCTTCTTGAACATCTCCCTTGCTCCTCCAAATACTCACCATTTTTTCCAATTTCAACTCAAAAAATTATTCAGAAATCTGGTTCTCCTTAATTCTGCCATGGCTCCCATTAGCTTCTTGGACTACAGCAAATGTCTCCACTATCACAACCCTTCAATTCATTCTTTACCTTACTTGAGATCTGAGCAGTAATGCCAATCTCCTGTTTACCTATCTTCAGTGGCTCCCTTCTGCTTACAAGGTAAAACTTAGACTTCAGCATAGAGTTCCTTTACCACCTGGCTACAACCTATCATTTCAATATCATTGTCAAATGCTCCTGGGGTACACTGTACACTACAGATAAAACATACTTTACGTCATGGCTTGATTATGTGGTATACTGTTACGTTCTATAACTTTGGTTGTACAATAGCTGAAGAAGAAATGGCAGGATCATGTAGCAGAAAACATACAAACCAGAATTGCCTGAAATATCCTCCCTTCCTTTTCTGTTTGGCACAATTCAAATGTCACCTTCCTGAATTCCTGATACATACTCTCCTCTGTATTCTCATACTGTAGTTGGCCTGGTCTCCAATATAGCAATGGCCACTCTGTATTGTGGTTATCTGTTTGTGTGTTTTCCCAAGACTGAGATTTCCAAAGTGGGGAACATATCTGTATTTACCTTTATAACTTCAATGCCTAGTGTAGTGCTTAGAATTCAATACAGGCTTGTTGAGTAAATGTACAAACATACATATAGATCTCTAGCTCCCATGCAAGCCAGGAGTAAGCAATTGATCTTCACACCTGGGAAGGACAAAAATTTTGCTCAGAAAATCTTCTGCATGCTATGGGTTATACCTTTATAATAGAAAGTCAGGGGAAAATGGGGTCAAAATTTTCTTCACAAATTATGATATAGACAATGTAGAAAGGAAAAAATATATTTGTGCTCTTTCGAAAAGCAGTGAAGCTCTATTTCACAGTAAAGAGGAAGAATACTATTTATAAGAGAATAAGGATTCAGGGATATCCTGAAACAATAGTTTTCATCTATTACATATAGTTAATTTTTTTCTTGGTGCCTGGCAGTCCTATTGTTTATCAAAAATCTATATATTTTTCTGGACTCCAAAAGTTATTCCTGCTCCATGCCCTAAGTCAAAATAAAGTGACTTGTTTTGCAAAAAATTACTTAAGTATGTGTATATCTCATTAAAAATACACATGCAGTTGACTAAGCTGCATTGTTTTCTCATTCAATATACAGTTAAACATAATGCATATTATTGTTCTGCATTAATTTTAGAAACTAAGACAAAAAAAAATTTCCTAGTAAGTGAATGATGTTTTTAAATTACTGTACCTGGTTTCAAAAAAATCTTCTTTATAAAAATAATGCAAATGGCCAAAAGAAAAAAATTCAATCTTCTTAATCCATCAACTAAATGAGCAACTAAAGAAATTAGTAACACACTTGTTATAATGAGATAGGTACTCCTATACATTGCTGGTAGATCATTAAAATATTTATAGAGTTTGACTCAACAGTCCTGTCATCTAAGACTGACCAGAAATAATCAGTTGCATACAAAGATTTACATATAAGAATATCAATTATAGTTATTTGAACTGTTAACAATGGCTATCTCATTATGGCAGGATTACAGATAATTTTTAATTTTTCAGTGTTTTCGAGATTTTGTAAAATTAGCATGTACTTCTTTTATAATTTTAAAGTTATTTTTAATTACCTGGTTTCGAGCTTGAATTCTGAAAGTTTAGCTCTGAGCTCTTCCTTACTCATCCTATTAATACAACCATTCGTAATAGCAATCTCTTTGTAAACTGGGTCACTGAAATCACTTGCACTGGAGGTAATGAACTTAGATCCTTTTGTTTCTTGGCCATCAAAGCTACATCGTTGCTTTTTCTACAAAAAAAGAAAGGATAAAGTTTATAATTAGTACAAACAGATTTAATATTCAAACTCCTGAAGCCTCTTCATGCTACATGTTGATGAAAAGTGCTCACTGTAGATCCCGGAGGGAGGATAGGATTGGAAGGAGGAAGATGTGTTTCCAATACAATTTACTCTGCTCTGTGCTGAGTCATGAGGTTACTCACAGGAAGGAAGCTAAGTAAAAAGAGATGGTGCTGGGAGTGGGAGCCACCTTAGTGCAGAGCCAGCTGATTTACTAGCAGCATGACCTAGGGTAATTATTAGCCTCTGATCTTCAGGTTCCTTATCTATAAAGTATGGTTGTCTCAAATGGTATTTGGTAATGGTAAATAATATTTGGGCAGAATTATTACAAGGATTAAATAAGATTATGTATATCAGGCTCCTAATATCATACCCACAATAGCTATTTATAAATGGCAACTTTGCTTATTAACCATCACAGGCTACAGAACAGACCTTTCACAAACAATGTTCTAATATTTACAAGTGAATCAATTTTTAAATGAACTCTCACAACATCATGCATGTATATATAAGTCAGTGACTTCCTGACAATTTTTTAACCTGACTTCATTTCACAAAGTTAACAAAAATTGTCCAACACAAAAACAAAATGGACTGCAAGTCTAGTTCAAAACTTCCTAGTACCCAAAGCAGAAGTAAATCTATTCAGTTTCAAAACTCACAATTTTCAAAAGTTATAGTTATGCCGTTTATTCAGGAGAACTATAGTGCTACTATATTATAGATCTTTTTTCTTAAATCGAAATCTGTTAAGAAAAAACATGATTCAATTCATGTTTCTTCTCTCCACAAGTAGTCCCAAATTACTAATACTATTAAGTTCCAAAGACTCACTTATAAGTTAATTATTTTCCATATGCAATGTTACAAATATTAGCTATGTTCCAGAATTTTCAAAAATAGTTCGGTGCTTACTATTAATCCCTACTAAAGCTTGCTAACTTAGTCATAATTTACCACATTGTTCCCAGATAAACTTTACTTACCGATTAAGGTAGGATAACCATGGACAGGCTGTAGTCCCTTACTTAGAACTGATCCTGATAGTTCAGGGACTATTTCTCACGCTAAGCTCTCAATTTAATGCAGCACAATTACTGGAAATATTAATATAATGCTAGGTATGGTGCCAGAGGACTCAAGAACTCCATCTCCTTTAAGGAAGGGCTCAACAATTCCAATGTGTGAACTGTCCATAAAGTGAACAATAGCCACATTGAGGCTTCCTGTTAACAAATGTTTAAAAGAAACTTTCTCTATGTCCATCTGTCAAGTGTCACAAACAGTACTGGACATATAATGAGAAAAGTGGTGATGGATTCCACAATATGGAGAGGAATATTTACCTTCACAGAACTGACATTGTGTAATTTTCATGTGTCCAATTAAGTTGATGTACAGCTTATATTATCTCAAATAAAAGAATATTTTACATTATGGGAAACATCCATGAACCTCTATTATACCAAACAGAAGTTTGCTATCTCGTGGCAAAGTACTTTAAAGTGTTGTTGAACTTAAAGATGAGTTATATATTTTTCTTACAAAAAGACAGTGTTGGGGCTCAGAAACCAATCCCCCAAAATACGGTGTTTGACTTGCTGAAATGAAGAAGCCTTAAGGTCTCTGACTCACCTCCTCCCCCTGCCCCCACCAGTAACTCTCCAATAGCCAGGACATAATTCTCAGAAGTCACTTTATCTGCCTAAAGTCATGGCCCATCAAAAAGAACAACTGTTTTTCCTTCCTCTCTCAGTAAAAGAGAATGTAATCACACCTGAACAGACCCTTTCACAACCAGCTCAGGCTCATTGAAACTCCAGTGAGAACTATTTACAAGTTAATCTCTGTTCCCAGATCCATTCATTCTCCCTAGTAACCTTTACTGCCACTCAGCAGAACTCCTCTTCTCCCCTCTCCCATAACCAGTTTTCCAAAGATAGTATATAAGGCTTCTGAACCCCACTGGGGAGTGGATAATCACTCTGCTGTTCTCCCCGTGTACAGATTAATAAATTCTGTATGCCTTTTATCCAATTAACCTGCCTTTTGTGAGTTGATTTTTCAGCAAACCTTCAGAGAGTGAAGGGGAAGTTTTTCCTTGGCCCCTACAACTGGTATTCCAAAATTGCTATCCTTTTCTTATTGGGAAGGGGATTGTAATTTGATCCTTAGAATTTTTTTGGAGACAGGGTCTCACTATGTTGCCCAGGCTAAAGTGCAGTAGCAATGTCATAGCTCACTGCAACCTCAAACTCCTTGGCCCACGCAATCCTGGCTCAGCCTCCTGAGTAGCTGGGACTACAGGCTAATGCAGACTTTTTTTTTTTTAAATGAAAACAATCTGAAAACATGTTTTAACAATAAGCTAGAAAGTAACTGCTTATCAAAAGAAACTTTGTGTGGAGAACATTTTGAAAACAGATGTTTTGGAAATGTTTCCATTATTTTGTTGCCAAAAAACTATGCATTACCCATTTAAAAAAGAAAAGAAAAACCTCTGCATCTGCACACTGAAAAAACCATAGAGACAGAATTTATCTTCACTGAAATTCTTCCAAAAGAGTTCTGGTGCAATTTGCAATACATAAAAATATAAAAATGCAACACTTTCTATTAATTTACAAAAACGACTGACATTAGGGATAATGGAAATTTACTAACTGAATTCAACAGAAAACTTTGCTTAACTGTGACTGGAAAATAAATTGTATGATCGTTAAGAGCATCCAACAGTTAAGTTTTTAACAAATATGAGAGTGACTAAAACCAATTTGGAACAGAGACTCAGGCCTTAAGTAGCTATAAAAGTTTCAGAGCTTTCAAATACAATGAAGTATATTCAAACACATTTCTCTGACTAAAAACAAACTTGAAAATTATTACATGTTACTGACCTCGGATTGAAGAAGGTTGGGTGGAAGAGTGATTTTTTTTTTTTTTTTTAAATAGAGATGGAAAGCGGAAGGCCTCTTTGAAAGTAAGGAGGAGAAGAGATAACTAGGCTAAGGTCCAGAGGAAGGCCATGCAGAGCAAAAGAAACATACAAAGACCTTTAAAAAGAAAAACCTTTCTTTCACTGTAAAGGAACACAAGGCAGTGAGGGGTACTGAAAGCAAAAGACAAAACTGCAAGATGCAATTAGATCCTGCAGGGCAGCAAATCCAAGATACTAAGGAGGGGGGCAAACCAAATTCATATTATTAAAAGATCATTTAGCTGCTACGTAGAAATTGACCGTAGACAGAAGGAGCAAGAGCAAGGAAGCCTCTTGCAAATACTTTATGAGGTGCTCAACATTTGTTTACTATTACTAGAAAATGACCAACTTCAGTATTCGATTATTTACAATCAGCAGCGCTAAATCAATAATTATGTTTGTTAAATAAGATGAATAAATGAGTTTTTAAAGACTGATTTACAATTTTGCCACCGTAACTAGGATCCACCACGGAGATACCAAAATCAAGAAAATCATATACTTTATCTACTTCAGATAGCAGTAAACGGGCAAAAATCAAAGACGAAGCTCCAATAGGTACAGAGAGAGGAAGAAGAAAAGCTGGCGAGCGCTTTTTTGTAAATTTAAGAACAAATCTTAGGAAATGACATACCTAAGGCATCTGGTGTGATTTTTTAAAATGTAAACTTAACAATGACCGATGAGGACTAGATGGAATACCAAAAACCAACAGCCAGCAGAATGTTTAGGGCAGAATTCCCCGTGAGAACCTACAAAACCAGAGTTCCCAGAACTTCTCGTCGTGACTGTTTACTCTCACTCACCCAGAGGGTGATCCGACCCTGAGGGGGCTCAATGACAACCTCCCTAAGTAAAGGCTCTCGGAGCTGGAGACGGGGAAGGCGACCGGGCTGGGGTCTGAGGGCGCGCAGGCTGCAGTTTCTAAGGAACACCTCAGAAGAAGGAGTGCCTTGGGCGCCGACGCCGGGACGCGGGCCGCCTCCTCACCTCGAGACTGGGCAGCTGCTGCTCCTCCGCACACTCCGGCCGCGGCGACTCCTGCTGCGCGGGAGCCACGGCCTCGCCGCCACCCTCTTTACTCTGTGGAGCCTCCATGCCAACTGTCACGCCAGAAGATTGCTGCTGGAGCCGGACTCTCGCTCACTCTCACTCTGCCAAGCCCGAAAGCCTCGTCTTTCTCGGTTGAAAAATTACCGGGCTCCGGTTCCCGCGGCGGCGGCCACACAAACTCCCGCGGACACCTCCCACTTCCGGGAGCGAGCGGCGTCCGCACGCCGCGCAGGCGCAGTGGGCCGGCGCGCGCAGAACGCGAGCGCTGCCGCCCAAGGGGCGGGAGGAAGACGCCGAGGGAGGCGCGCGCGGGAGAAAGGGGGGCGGAGCTCGCCCTGCGCCGAGGGGCGGGGGTTGAAGTGACGCGCGGAGCTAGCCTAGTCACTGGAGGGTTCCGCCGCGATAAATGATCCCATCAGCATTTCTTCAGCAGGAAAAAAAAGAGGGTGTCATAGAGAAAGACGGTTTTCAACCGTAACAGACAACATGCATAAAACAATTTACATTTTCCATAAGGAGTTTGTAAGACTTCCGCTTCAGGAAAAGAAGAGAAAATGGGTCCGGACTCAGTGTCCCGCTACAAGCGATTAGAAAACTGACCCAAATATACGAAACTCTCTTCAGATACTGGACAACAGGCAGCTCTGGACTGTTTCTCCTGGGAGAAGAGAAACAAACAAAATGCGCCTCTGTCACCCTGGCTTTCTGCCTAGAGGTAATTTCCAGTGTTTGGTGCAGGGAAGGGAAACGCGGAGACCCAGGGGCTCACTGACTGAGAAGACTGGGATTGATTGGAGTTTAGGGAATTGGAAGCCAAGTTGGTTGACATGTGTTGGGCAGAGTTCTGAAGAGGAGGGAATTACACGGAAAAAGAGCTTCAGAAATTTGCTTAGCAGTGCCTTTGAATCTTTAACTGAAAAAAAAAAAAAGTGAAACTCCACAAGGCCAGGAAAGAAAAATTATTGGGGAGGAGTAAGCCAAACAATTACCAGAGCTCACAACAAAACTGGGAACCATTTGAGTTCCCAGCAACTAGAGTGGAGAGAATTTGTTGAACACATGCAGTAAGAGATCCAGAAGTGTCATGCCTTAGTAGTGGATAAACTAACCCTAGACTGTAGAACCCAGAGTAAAAGCTACTGTAGACCCTTCAAACGCTTAAAAACAAGCCCTGCGTGATGGTGTGCGCCTATAGTCCCAGCTACTGGGGAGGCTGAGGCAGGAGGATCGCTTGAGCCCAAGAGTTGGAGGTTGCAGTGAGCTATGATCACCCCACTGTACTCTAGCCCAGACAGAGTGAGACCCTGTCTCAAAAAAGGAAAAAAAAAAAGCTCTGAAAGAATCAAATTGCTCAGTAAGTAACATAACTGCCTGCCAGAACAAAGTCTAATTGTTTAGAGCACCTTTGACATAAGTAACTCCATCTTAGAAAAAGACTTTATCTTACATTGTAAAAGGCATTAGGCCAACAGGGACCAGATGTTTGCCTGATCAATAGAGACTGCATCCAACCAGACAAGGGCATAACCCTTTACCATCAGCCCTCACCATAGGACTCAGAGACTTTAAAAAAGCAAGATTTCACCAGTTCGACATAGCCGTCTCAGCAGACACCATCTTGCTGTTGCTCCTCATCTTCACCCAGCATCTGCCACCAAAGGCTCTACTCAAATCACGGCCTCTTCTCTGACCAAATCAAGGACTCTCCCAAACAAACAAAAAAGCAAACCTGTTAATCTGGAATTCTGTACTCAGCAGGATGAAACAAAAACTTTTTCAGACAAGCCCAAGAAATCCACATCCTGAAGTAGAGCCTTCCTAGCTGACCTGCAAATCTGTGAGGGGAAAAATTAATGCTAGTGTTGTAAGCTACTGAGTGGTTTGTTATTCAGCATTATTACAAAAATAATTAACTAACACAGGGTCATTTCAAGTCTCCTGGCAATAGGTGAGGACATATAATTCTCTAGTAGAGAGGGATGCAACTGGAAATCTACCACAGATGTCTTCTGATATCACCTGTTTCTTCCTAAGTGGACTGTATTTTTTTTCCTCATAACTACAGACTTATCTCTATGTTTATAAACTGAGGTTTATAGGCATGTAAGTTATAAAAATTTCTAAGGCACAGAGTTATCCTGAACTGACAACCTCTTTTTGCCAAAGACAGATTTATTCACTTTCTCTTCAAATAATAAGACTTTGAGTCCCAACACACAACAACAGAGAAATGAGTGAGAATCGCTAGAATTGCTGGTTTCTTCTGCAGGTTCTTTCGTTGGCTTGCAGATGGCTGTTTTTCCCCTGTGTGTTCACATGGTCTTCCTGTTGCCAAACGCAGGTTTGGCTGCCCACCACCTGAGAACTGAACACGAGAGGTGAGTGTTGGTAACGGGAAGGTGGTTTGTTCAAGTCCCGGCAGCCTGAGCAGGTGGTGGACTATTGTCTCAAACACCATCTCGTCTCCTCTGCTTACTGAGCAACTTATAAAGGGAAGGGATGGAGGGGGTTCGTGGCAGAAAGCAAGCTATGTGCAAGTCATCATGACTCCCTCGATGGTTATCAGCAAACAATAGGTCGTTCTGGTCAAACTTGTCATCAGCAGTCTGCAGTTGGCCTGTTCTGGACTCTTGATCTGTTTTTCCTGAAGGTCATTTTCTAATCTTATGTCCTACAGCTATGTAAGAAGGCGGCAGGTTCATTGTAAACTTTTAAGATAGAACAAGCTGAAAGCATACTGGGGGCAAAATGCCTTCCCTTTAGCTAACCTCCAGTTATAGTATGAGTGGCCTTTGGGGTGCACTTACATTCCTTCTGTAACTGTGTCCAAATTGCCTCTTCTTATAAGGACACTGGTCATGTTGGATCAGGGCCCAACCTAATGACCTTATTTTAACTTAATCACCTCTTTAAAGACCCAGTCTCCAAATACAGTTACATTCTAAGGTACTGGGGATTAGGTCTTCAACATATGAATTTGGCAGGGACACAACTGAGCTCATACCATATGGCATTTACATTCTATTTTGGAGCTATACTTTCATATTTGATTTAACTTAGTTCTCATGTTTCAACTTTCTCCCTCCCCAGCTTAGGTTCTGTGACCCATTATCATACATCTCTTGCCAATATCCTAAACTTCTTTCCCTGTCAAAACCCCCATGACAATAAATCTGTCTTTCTTCACCTGTGCTTGTTCTGAGTTCTGGGAGGTGCCTTAGAGATCACACAGCAGGCAGGTGGGTGCTGTGATGAATTAGTGACCACCAGCTTCACCTGGTGCTAATCTTCCCCGGTAACCCTATCATCTCCTCATTTTGCCTTTCCTCTGTCCATAATTTCTGCAACAAACCTCTGCTTTCACCTCCAATCTCCTTCTCCACATACAGACAACCTCCCCTCCTGCTTCATAGAGAAAATAGAAACCCATTGAAGAAAACTGTTTTAGCTTTTTACCACCAAATCTACCTACCCACATCTGATCTGATCTTGGTTTAAAATTTTGATATTTTGATCATCATGAAGTTTTTACATTAATTTTGATTTACTAAGAGATTGTACTAAAGTGTTTGTCTTACTTACCAATTTTTTTTGGTACCTCCTTAAATGTTGTGCTCAAGATAAGTTCTTTCCTCACCTTACCTGAGTCCCAGGTTGCTTCCTCCATCCTTTCCTCCTTCCGGCCTTGATTTTCTTAGTTGACCACTACTCCATGATCTTACAATTCCCCTCCTCTCCTACCTTCTCAGGAATCTTGAATTTTGTTCTATCCACTCTCTGTTCTTCTTCAATCTTCTCCTTGCCGATAGACCTTTCCCTTTGATGTGGAAATGGGCTCAATTCAAAATTTTCCAGCTGCAAAAGCCCAGCCAAACAAAACACACCCCCTCAACCTCAGAACCCCTATGGCTGCTCTACTATTTCTTTTTTTCTCCTTCAGTGCTAAACCTTTTGAAAGAATTCTCTATTTTTCCACATACTGACCCACTATTCAGCCTGGCCTAATTTTGATTCCACCCCACAGTCCACTGGCATTTACTTCTCCACTGAGGTCACCAGTTAGCTCCTTATGGTTATGTCCGGTAAGCTCTTACCAGGGTTCATCCGACTTGACCTTTCAACAGCCTCCAGCATTGGCAGCTACCCTTTATTTACTGAAACATTCTCTTCCTTTGGTCTTCACAACTGCACGTGCCTGGCTTCCTTCCTTTTTCTCCAGTCATTTCTTCTTAACTTCCCTGGTCAGTTCCCCTCTTATATCCAATCATTGAATGCAGAAATTCCTTCAGGACTGGATCTTAGGCCCTCTTCTTTACTCTAATATTCTTTTCACAGTATAGACTTCCACCCTAGGTGACTTGTCCATTCCTCTTGCCAATGACTCCCAAATTTGTTTCAACCCAAGATCTTTATTCTGAGCACCAGATCCACATGACTAGTTGCCTGTTCACAAACACCTTCGAATTCAACATATGCGGGAGCGAAATCATCCTTTTCCCACCCAAACCTGCCACTTCTCTGGTGTTTCTTTTCTCAGTATGTACCTCTACCATCCACACAGTTGATCAGACCAAAAATATGGGAATCACTTGTGACTTTTCATCTTCTTTACCTTCCTTAATGCATATAAGTCTCAGAATTATCTGGGCTGTACTTATCTCTCTTGATTTAGCAAAAATACCTTTTTTCTCTTCCCATTCTTAACTCCTTTCAGTGCCTCAACATGCTATGCTAGTTCCCATTTCAGGGCTTTTCTTAGCTAATTTCATTTCTTCTTTAGATAGGAGATTAAACTTTGCTTCCTCTAGAATTTCCCCACCCCCTAAACCCCCAGATTTTGTTAGATGCTGCCTTTTATGGGATCTATTTCCTTGGCATTTTTTTTTTTTTTTTGGAAAAAGATTTGACTGTGTATGAGAAAGACCTTAAATACCTGTGACTTAAATGAGGCAGAAGTTTATTTCTCTCTGAAATTAAAGTTTGGCTCTGTAATACAACCATGTCAAGGGCCAGGGCTTTTCACCATTCGTAATATGTTGTCCTCATTCCCATGATCCAGACAGCTCCTCATTCCATGTGCATTCTAGCCAGTAGAAAGAGGAAAACATTGAAGGGCAGAATATGCATTTTCCTTTAAAGTCCTATCCTGAAGTCATGCACATTACTCCTGCTTTT